TCTGGTTTATTTTTCCCAAAGCCCATCTGTTGGAGAACTTAACTCAGTGGAAGTTTTTCCCCTGGTTCTCTTTGCTGGCGGTTGTGGCATGTTTAGGCAGTTAGAATTTAAAAAAAATGGTTCGGCGAAAAATAAGCTAGCTGCTACAACACGAACTCTTTTAACAGTCACACTTCTGCGGTGGTGTGATCGTGCCGTGTGAATGGTGACAACAGCTGACCTGGTCCACCAATTTTTTTGGCTTACTTTTGACACGCTTTCTGGCTCAAGACAGTTTTCCGCCTTTTTGCCGTTTTCCACCGTGTTTGCGACGATTTGAGTGGTCTTCGGGGATGTGAGTGGCTTTTGCGACGCGAAGAATATAGTTTTATTTTACCAAAATCAGCAACGATACGGGAAAAACATCAGCATGTGCAGACGACTTAGGCTCCGGGACGATTTGTTGAAGCTTGAACTCAGAAAAAACGAGTAAACACGGGGCTTGAGGTATAGCACGTGTTATATGTTATATGAATTTTTAATTCCAGAAAAATATTCATTTTTTATGCATGAGGTGACTTTTCTCGGTCATAAATGCACAGATAAAGGAATACTTCCAGACGAAAAGAAATACGATGTCATTATGAACTATCCAGTCCCACATGATTCGGACAGCGCTAGACGTTTCATAGCATTTTGTAATTATTATAGGCGTTTTATTAAAAATTTCGCCGAATATTCACGGCACATAACAAGATTATGTAAAAAGAATGTTACTTTTGAATGGACAGATTGCCAAAACGCATTCCAATATTTAAAAACAAAACTAACGGACCCTACTTTGCTACAATATCCCGATTTCAGCAAAGAATTTTGTATAATTACTGATGCAAGTAAACAAGCATGTGGAGCGGTTTTAACTCAAAACCATAACGGACTCCAACTTCCCATCGCATATGCATCGAGAGTTTTTTCTAAGGGAGAAAGTAATAAATGTACAAGTGAGCAGGAATTAGCTGCAACACACTGGGGAATATTACATTTTCGACCATATATTTATGGAAATCACTTTACAATTAAAACAGATCACAGACCATTAATATACCTATTTTCAATGATAAATCCGAGTTCTAAACTGACACGTATGAGGCTAGAGTTAGAAGAGTATGATTTTACAGTTGAATATCTAAAGGGAAAAGACAATTATGTAGCTGATGCGTTATCTAGAATAACCATTAAAGATCTGCAAAATATTACTGGAAATATAAAAAAAGTCACTACTAGAAATCAAAATAGACAGAAAATCCGCGCGGAAAACAAAGAAATAGAATTGCCTAGGCAATCTATAGAGAAATCTTCTAAGCCCAACGTATACGAAGTCATAAACAATGACGAAGTACGTAAAGTAGCGCTACTCAACCCGGTGGCCCTTATAGAAAAACAAGATGAGAAAGAAGCTATACTGTCTACATTCCATGACGATCCCATACAAGGAGGTCATACTGGCATAACAAAAACCTTGGCCAAGGTTAAAAGACATTATTTTTTGAAAAGTATGACTCGAGATATTACTGAGTATATACGAAAATGTCCGAAATGCCAAAAAGCTAAAATAACTAAGCACCATAAGACTCCATTGATACTAACTGATACGCCTACAAATGCTTTCGACATTACCAAAATTAGAAACTGGCAATGAATATGCAGTCACTCTAATATGTGACCTAACTAAATACTTAGTAGCCATACCAGTTCCAAATAAGAACGCGAACACTGTCGCTAAAGCAATTTTTGAATCATTCATTCTGAAGTACGGTCCAATGAAGACGTTCATTACGGCCATGGGTACAGAGTATAAGAATTCAATTATAAATGATTTGTGCAAATACCTAAAAATTGAAAATTTAACATCTACGGCACACCACCACCAGACAGTCGGACAATAGAACGAAGTCATCGAACTTTCAATGAATATATACGCTCATATATATCTGTTGATAAAACTGATTGGGACGTATGGCTCCAATATTTCGTTTTTTGTTTCAATTCGACCCCCTCAATGGCACATAATTATTGTCCATACAAGCTAGTATTTGGTAAAACAAATAATTTACCAAAACAATTTAATAGTATAGAAAATATAGAACCCATATATAATATAAATGACTATGCTAAGGAAAGTAAATATAGATTAGAAATAGCATACAAAAGAGCTAGAGTAATGATAGAAGAAAATAAGAAAAATAATAAAATACTATATGATCAGAAAATAAACATTATATAAACAACAAACAGGTCATAAGTTAGATTATCAATATACAGGTCCGTATAAAGTAACGGAAATAGGAGAAAGAAATAACATTATAATAATGAATAAGAAAAACAAAAAACAAAAAGTTCATAAGGATAGATTAAAAACGTTTATTTCATAAATGCATTTAGCATGGCCATGCTTAGAAATACTTCTTTCTTAAATAAGAATACTATTATCAATTACATTCTCTTGTGACGGTTTGTCGTTGTCGGGTGGCTCAGGGATGGCCAGGATTCGTCACAAGAATTTGTTTGTGTCAGGCGTGGTTGCTGAAAGAGAGTTCCGACCCAGCCCAGAGTAGAAGTCGTGGGGAATTACTTAGTAATTGAATTAGAACTAGGTTTTATTTCAGTAAGTATCTTGACAATTTATTAACAACTAACGAATTCACCGGTTTGGCGGGATGCCGCCCTTGCAGCCTTCGTTTCCTTCTTACGCTTAGAATACCTGGTCTCGGGAGCAGTCCAGCTGCTCGATAGGACCAGCTCGGGTTGGGTTACCTGAAATGAGAATAGGGTGCCTGGGGACCCTGAAGTCAGCCACGAGCGAGAGAATTGGTTGCTCGGGGACCCTGAAGTCAGCCACAAGAGAGAGAATTTGTTGCTCGGGGACCCTGAAGTCAGCCACAAGAGAGAGACTTTGTTGCTCGGGGACCCTGAAGTCAGCCACAAGAGAGAGAATTGGTTGCTCGGGGACCCTGAAGTCAGCCACAAGAGAGAGAAGTTGGTGCTTGGGGACCCTGAGGTCAGCCGCAAGAGAGAAGTTGGTGCTTGGGGACACTGGGGTCAGCCGCAAGAGAGAGAAGTTGGTGCTTGGGGACCCTGAGGTCAGCCGCAAGAGAGAGAGAGAGAAGTCGGTGCTTGGGGACCCTGAGGTCAGCCGCAAGAGAGAGAGAGAGAAGTCGGTGCTTGGGGACCCTGAGGTCAGCCGCAAGAGAGAGAGAAGTCGGTGCTTGGGGACCCTGAGGTCAGCCGCAAGAGAGAGAAGTCAGCCGGTGAACCGTGCTGTAAGGAGGTGTGATCCTAAAATCAGCCGTCTCCTATGGATACCTTCAGCTCGGCAAGCCGGGAAGGTTAGAGGGGGGAGGAAGTAGTGCGGGAACTAACTACAATGTATAGAAGCGGACTTTGATCGAATGATCTAGTCCACCAAAAAATGACTTTGCTGCTTACCACCACTGGGGAGATGCTTCTGCACCCTTAGACGGTTGGCTGCTAAGTGCCTTTCTATGGCCCGTGGCCCGTCTTATATAGGGCTCGGCGAGATTTAGTGTGCCCGTCGTCTGTGGGATTTGCCGGGCTAAGTGTGACCATCTCTCTCTCGGTCTAGTGTGCCCCTATATGCGCGATCGCTGGCGCGCGCGCGTTCTCGGTTTGAATTTGAAATTAAATGATTCTATAGTGCGCGCAGCGTCACACTCCCCCCGTCATGGATTTTAGTGGTATTGAATCGTGACGTAGTTTCCCCTATTCGACACCACTCGCCAGGTTGTCTCTCCATCCTTTATCAGCCATCGCTGCTGCCTTCCAATTCTTTTTCCTGCTAGCTTTTCCTTGATACTGTCTCTTGCCGTTCTCGATATTCCCGCTCCTTCTGGTAGTGTCCATCCTTTGTCGCTGTGCTCCTCCTCATGGACCTCTAGTATATCCCGGGCTGCTCGGCTATCCTGGGCGATTCTGGCTACAGCCCTTATGGTTTGGCTGCTCCCTTCGTTGCCCTGCCCTGACCGGGTGTTACTGGTTGTTTGCGGTGCCGGGGTCTTCATGTTGCCCCTCCTCTTCGCCGGTGCCGTCCGCTTTCGTGCGGCTCCCGCCATCGGTATCGGCTCTACTAATTTCGCCATAGTCTGCGCTGCTGCTATCTTTGCATGCTTTTTGCGGACTCTCAGCGCTGCCTCCGCGAACTTGTCCATGTTTTCGTGTTCGTTCTGTATTGTATTTGTTCCTCCGTACGGCTTAGGGTCTCCAATGTATATCCTCTTTGTTTTCCGTTTGTTCGGGTCTTTTACTGCCACTTTCGTCCGCGTCTTCCTTGATTTTTTCTGCTGTGATCCCTTGTACTTCTCCTTGATCCAGGTGTCCGTGACCTCTTTTGCTTTCAACTTGTCCTGTGCTGCTACCTCATTCCATTTTCGCTCTCCATACTGGACTACGCCTAAGTCCCTGGTATTCGTTTTTGTCTCCGGTTGGTCCACTTTGTCTCCGGCTGCTCTTATCTCTAGCTCCAAGCCTGCACATCTCAGCGTGCTGCGTGCCCCGGCTAGAAAGTTCATTCCTAACAGTATTCCTCCTGCCACTTCTGTTAGTATCATGAATGTTACCCTGAACGCTCTTCCTCCAAATTGGATTTCTGCTGCGAATTCTCCTCTCGCCTTCTGCGTTGCTCCGTTGGCCATTGTTATTTCTGCTCGGGTTCCACAATATTTGCCTTGTTGCTTCAGATCTTGATATCTGCTTCTGCTTATCGCGCTTCTTGATGCTCCTGTGTCCACGGTTCCTTTCGCTGTCTTGTTACCGACCCTTATCCGGGCTACTATTTGGAACCCGTCGCAACACAGCTGTTCCCCTGCTGCTGGTTCCTTTATTGCCGCCTGAGCTGCCAGATTCAACTGCTCAGGTCTCCTGCAGCACTCCTTGGTTCTCGTACCGTTTCTTCCACAGATCCAGCAAAACAGCCTCGGCGGATTGCTGCACGAGCTTCCCGCATGTCATGTTCCTCCGCAGCGCATGCATATCTCCGGTCCTAGTTGCTGCTGTGCAGGTTGGCTTGCCTGTGTCCGGTCCTCTGCCTCTATTTCTTTTACTTCTTCCGCTAGTTTGAGGAACTCTGTCAACGAGTTGAATCCTGCCCTCCTAGCGTACAGCTTTATCTTGCTCCTGCTGTTTTTGTATACTCGGTCCAGCTTGGCCTCTTCTGAGAGTTTCGTGAATTGCATGAGTTTTCGTAGCCCCATTGCGTATTCTCTTACGGGCTCCGTTTCTCTCTGTTTCATCTGTGCAATTTGATTCTCCAACTGTTCCTCATACCTCGGCGGCAAAAAATATTCTAGAAGTTCTGTTCTGAGCTGAGTCCATGTTACGATCCTGCTCGGCGTGGTGTTCCACCAATCACTCGCGATCCCCTCCAGGATGAATGGCATCGTCTGTATCAGCTGGTCCTTCCGTATTCCGTATCCGCCTGCCCACTGTTCCATTTTGCTTAGGAACTCCAGTGGGTTTGTTGTTCCTTGGTACCGGATGCCCCATCCGCGTACCCGGTCTATGACTTCTGTTTCCATTTTTATTTCTGCCTTTCCTTCCGTTTCGTCCCCTCGACTTGCTCCTTTAATGTCCATTATCTCCTCCCTTTCCCTGGTTACCACGATCGCCGGAATTGTTTCCTTCGCCGGGCTTTTTTCTCTCCTATATTTTTCTGTCAGATCTGCGAGGGTTTGTCTGACCGTTTCCGTATGATCCGTTTTTTTGGCGAACACTGCCAACAAACGTCTTAAGTCTTCACTTTTTTCTGCCGTTCCTAATCCGGACTCTTCCGTGTATTTCGTTAGTTCGCTCTTTGGTGCCAGATATACCCAGCTCGACATTACTCCGCTGGTGTCGGTTTATCTCTTGCAACCACTTTAACCTGCTCGGGCGCCACTGTGACGGTTCGTCGTTGTCGGGTGGCTCAGGGATGGCCAGGATTCGTCACAAGAATTTGTTTGTGTCAGGCGTGGTTGCTGAAAGAGAGTTCCGACCCAGCTTAGAGTAGAAGTCGTGGGGAATTACTTAGTAATTGAATTAGAACTAGGTTTTATTTCAGTAAGTATCTTGACAATTTATTAACAACTAACGAATTCACCGGTTTGGCGGGATGCCGCCCTTGCAGCCTTCGTTTCCTTCTTACGCTTAGAATACCTGGTCTCGGGAGCCGTCCAGCTGCTCGATAGGACCAGCTCGGGTTGGGTTACCTGAAATGAGAATAGGGTGCCTGGGGACCCTGAAGTCAGCCACGAGCGAGAGAATTGGTTGCTCGGGGACCCTGAAGTCAGCCACAAGAGAGAGAATTTGTTGCTCGGGGACCCTGAAGTCAGCCACAAGAGAGAGAATTTGTTGCTCGGGGACCCTGAAGTCAGCCACAAGAGAGAAAATTGGTTGCTCGGGGACCCTGAAGTCAGCCACAAGAGAGAGAAGTTGGTGCTTGGGGACCCTGAGGTCAGCCGCAAGAGAGAGAAGTTGGTGCTTGGGGACCCTGGGGTCAGCCGCAAGAGAGAGAAGTTGGTGCTTGGGGACCCTGAGGTCAGCCGCAAGAGAGAGAGAGAAGTCGGTGCTTGGGGACCCTGAGGTCAGCCGCAAGAGAGAGAGAGAAGTCGGTGCTTGGGGACCCTGAGGTCAGCCGCAAGAGAGAGAAGTTGGTGCTTGGGGACCCTGAGGTCAGCCGCAAGAGAGAGAGAGAAAGTCGGTGCTTGGGGACCCTGAGGTCAGCCGCAAGAGAGAGAGAGAAGTCGGTGCTTGGGGACCCTGAGGTCAGCCGCAAGAGAGAGAAGTCAGCCGGTGAACCGTGCTGTAAGGAGGTGTGATCCTAAAATCAGCCGTCTCCTATGGATACCTTCAGCTCGGCAAGCCGGGAAGGTTAGAGGGGGGAGGAAGTAGTGCGGGAACTAACTACAATGTATAGAAGCGGACTTTGATCGAATGATCTAGTCCACCAAAAAATGACTTTGCTGCTTACCACCACTGGGGAGATGCCTCTGCACCCTTAGACGGTTGGCTGCTAAGTGCCTTTCTATGGCCCGTGGCCCGTCTTATATAGGGCTCGGCGAGATTTAGTGTGCCCGTCGTCTGTGGGATTGCCGGGCTAAGTGTGACCATCTCTCTCTCTCGGTCTAGTGTGCCCCTAAATGCGCGATCGTTGGCGCGCGCGCGTTCTCGGTTTGAATTTGAAATTAAATGATTCTATTGTGCGCGCAGCGTCACACTCTTTATATAAAAAAAAAAAATATTAAAAAAATTTAATAAAAAATTATTATTATTCCTTTAAGTAAAATATACCAATAAAAAACCTTCATAATATATTACGTTATTTTTAAAAAGGAGGGAGATGTAGTATGCACATATATTGAATATCTACTGTACCAAGAGTACTTGACGCAAACACACTGTAACACTTTGTTGCAGTGCATTCATAAAGGCCCGGTCAAAAACCTAAGTGGCCGAACACGAGCCGATTGGCGCGCTCACAGAAAGTGCAAGTGTCAGCATTCTGTTACACACGCCGGCCGAAATCAAGTGCATGCATATACCCTCGCGCTCCAGCTTAAGAGAGCATAATTTAATACATATAACATATAGATATACATAGCCGTCTCTCTGCCGTCCAAATGTAGGCAGCGCAGCTACGAGACTTAGGCTTACTTAGAACCTAAGGGAAATTGTAAAAATCAGACACAACTCGACGTTGGTAGCGGCACTAATGCTGCTCCAGCCTTTTAAATAAAGACCTTTAAAGAAAAAGATTTAAACTGAGTGTTCTAAATTACGACACCTTGCTGTGCACGGTACCAGGACTCGGGCTAGGATGCCGAATGTTTACAGGACTCGTTGTTCGCGACGATGTTCCCCGCTTGAGGGCCGGAGCTTGACTTCCTTCTGGTAGCCCGGTGTGCTCCTCTTATAGTCGCCGGCCATGTGTCCTCCGCGTTCGGGACAACGTGGGAAGCGAGAGGAGGAAAAAAAAAAATTTTGCGCAACCACACATACTTATATTTTCTTTCCCGTTTCCCCAGGAAAAAAAAAGATTAGCTCCGTCGTAATCCACGGCCGCTACGCGCTCTGGGACCGGCAATGGATTCGGATCCGACATGCGAGTGCAAGACTCCGTCGTAATCCTGGGCCACCACGCGGTTTCGTAGAGGGAAAATGATATAAATATAAATATATAAAAAAAATTCCTTTTTTTTTTTGTTGGTCTGATCTTAGGGTGTCTATCTCATGGGTCTTTACGCCATATAACCCAACAAAAAAATTTTATTTTTCTTGAGAAAAAAAAATTATATATATTTTTTTTTGAGGAAAAATAATTTACAATAATTTATTTAAGTTCAAGGACTTAAGGGAGGGGTGATCCTATTCAGACTCCGTGGCCGGAACTCACAGCGGGTTTGGATCCGACAATCGAGCAGAGCTCCGTCGTAATCTCTACCCACCACGCGCATCGAAACCCGCAATGATCCTTGGATCCGACAAACGAGGCTAGCTCCGTCGTAATCTTTGGCCACCACGCGGTCCGACCACGATCGGCAGAAACAGCAACAAAAAGAAAAAGGAAGGGGGTTTTGTGGGCAGTGTCACCCAGAGATGCCGACCATGGGCCGAAGCCTGCAGCGGATTTAGATCCAACAACCGAGTACAAGACTCCGTCGAAATCTGTCTCAGCCGCATGCTCCGGAACCCGCACTGACCCTGGACCCGAGAAACGAGCCTAGCTCCGTCGTAATCCCCGGCCACTAAGCGCTCCGGGACCGGCAATAGCTTCGGATCCGACAAGCGAGTGCAAGACTCCGTCATAATCCTTGGCCACCACGCGGTCCGACCACGATCGGCAGAGAAGGGCGGTTTTTCCTAGATGGAGGCAAGAGAAAATAGTTCCCATTCCCCTCCTACGTTCACTCACACACAAAACACGGCAGGCGAATAGCTTTTGGGTTTTCAAATACTTTGTTTTCTTTATTTAAGTTTTGTTCGAGGGGTGTACAAAGCCTCCTTGTCACGCCACTCCAGTCTAGTCGTTTTTCCAAAAAAATATATCGAGAAAATATATAGGGGACGCTTACGTTTCCGTCCACAGCAAATCCAGCCAGTTGATTCCCCATGCCTCCGCAGCGGGAACAGGGTCGTACACTCCGTCAACTTCGCCACTGTCGGTTGATATCGTATCACACGTTTTTCACGCACTTGTCAAATTTTCACGGCGGGGCGGTTTCCCGGCTTTTTGTCTCACGATTTGAATCTGGCACGCGCGAAGCCTCAAGCGTAATTGCCCTTTCTCCTCTTTGATATCGGCGCTCGCACCCCATGCATTGCGTCGGCGTCGCTGCCGCTGCGCCGGCGCTTCGGCAGTTTTCAGGCAAAATTATTTCCCCTTGCTCGAAAACATCGGTCGGGTTGGTTGCAATTTGGTTCGATCGTGCGAAATTATTTCCCCCTTGCTCGAAAACATCGGTCGGGTTGGTTGCAATTTGGTTCGATCGTGCGAAATTATTTCCCCTTGCTCGAAAACATCGGTCGGGTTGGTTGCAATTTGGTTCGATCGTGTGACGAAAAGCTTGTGTGTGTGTTAGCTTTGTGCAGGTGTTCAAACTGTTTGAAGAGGGCGAGAGCGTGTTGGTTGCGCTCAGGCGTTCGATGGTTCAAATGTGTGCAGCTGCTGATGTTCGAAGTGTGTGTAGAAAAGAGCGAGAGCGTGTTGGTTGCGCTCAGGCGTTCGATGGTTCAAATGTGTGCAGCTGCTGATGTTGGAAGTGTGTGTAGGAGCGAACGAGGGCGTGTTGTTTGCGCTCAGGCGTTCGATGGTTCAAATGTGTGCAGCTGCTGATGTTCGAAGTGTGTGTAGGAGAGAGCGAGAGCGTGTGCGCTCAGGCGTTCGATGGTTTAGATGTTGCGTGCATTGGCTATTAAAAAGCTAAACTAATAATAATATTACATGGCTACAAAATATTCCTACATGGCTACAAAAATCCTACATGTCTACAAAAATCCTACATTGCTACAAAAATATACAAAATAAATTGTGAGGGCCGTCTTACGGTTCCTCACACCCCCCCTTCCTTCGGGGTGCTGAAGCGAGACGTTGATGAACCGATTATTTGTAATCGCAATCCTGTAGGTTCGCCCCTTTACCTTCCTTAGGATGCGTACCCCTCGTCGCTTGTGTTGTCGGACGAAGACGATGAGCTCGTTGGGAAGCCTGCGTCGCTCGGTGTTTACGGCCCACTCTGCGGGGCTTCTGACCACTGATCCTCCTCCGGGGTGGCCGGAGGTAGCTGGTTGTCCTCCAATGCGCGCAGTAGTTCCCTTTCCTCTTCCAGGTCGAGGCAGAGTTCCCAGGGCACTAGACACTCGTCCTGGACGTGGCTGCCACAGGGGACGTCGTCTGCCGGACGTTCTGGGTGTTCTTCACAGGCGTTGTGGGACAGGGTCGCCATGGTTGGGTTAGCTCTTCGTCGCTGACGTCGCTGTAGAGGTCGTCCCGCAGGGCGCCGCCATTTGAGGGCTGGGTGCGTCTCCGTTCGGATCGTCCTCG